ACTAGAGATGGGTTTCCACCCGGGTAAAAACCCACATGAGGGTAAAAACCCAATAAAAACCCGTTTCATTCCACCCGTGGGTGTTTACACCGGGTGAAAACAAATAATTTTATAATTATTTCAATTGGTATCTTTTCTTTATTTTTATTGAATTTTTCTCATTTAAGTTTATTGATTAATAAGTAATAAGTGAAATTTAACACTAATATGCATTAATATCGTGGCCAAATCGTAAAATTGATCACGTTATGATGATGTGACCAATTATTTTATAAAATGGTGTTATTTCAAGAATCGTTGAACCGATTTAAAAGAAATTTAGTAGGAACACAATAATTTGTGATCATGGCAAGGACATGGAGGGGGGGATGCCAAAGATGCCAAACACTCTCTTTGATGACATTACGGTATAAAGTTACAAATAACAACACCAACTACAAAGTACTTCTGCTTAAAAACTTGAAATCGACCGCCCTTCCGCCACTGTAACGCATTGTAACGTTTTTCAAGACCTCCTCTCCCCCCAGATTGCATTACGTAACACTAGAACGCCCCCTTAGCAACAAATACCACTTCTCACTTTAAAAAAACGCTATTTTTGTTTTCACCCGCCAGAATGGGTGATAATGGGTAAAAACCGGGTTTTAACCCAAAACACCCGGTTTAAACCCAATCGGGTGAAATGGGTTTTTACCCACTACCCATCTCTAACCACAGCTAATTTTCATAGTTGACTGTACTATACGATAAACATGTCAGTCAATTTGACAACCTTTGTCGGAAACATTATTCAATGAAAATATTGTCCGAACCCTTAGTAATTCTCTTCGACAAATACTTTAACACATTGTGAACCACTTTTCTTTCACGACTATATAAAGATTTTAGCAATTTAATTCACAAAATCAATTGCGCACATTTAAAATAAAGTTCGTTTACACTTTGACAGCAATAGACTGACATGTCAATGAAGTTTTCAGTTACTGTTGCCATTAAAAGAAATTAGTACCATTAATTTTCCGCAACATGGCGAGGGTTTTTATGTTCCTGGTCAGGCTATAATTTGTATTTTTTTTAGTTCACTGAATGTGAGCTCTTCCTTTGAACTTGGAGCTCACATCTGTGGCTTTGTTACAACACTATTCATGACGGTGCTGCCATTTTTCAAATGACATACGTCAACGTCATGCACTATGGTTGGACAGCAAATCCATAGACAAGAATATAGATTTTCTTCGGATATGGCCGCTGTTTCGGCAATACAACACCTGCAATGTTTTGTATATTCATTTTTATAAAATGAATGAAGTGTTTTTTACTTATATTTAGTGTTTAGTGGACTGTGTACAATACTGTGATAACTGTAATGGATGCAGAGAGCGAGTACGAAATAAAGAGAGCCCGTGATGCAATTCAAACGATAGACACCATCCAGTCTATGATCGACGTTTCTGCTGATATTCTCGAGGGTTTGAGGACGCAATGCTCGACGAGCGCGGAGCTTACGCAGCAGGAGATCCGGACCCTGGAGGTAGGGCTGGTGTTGGATGTGGTAATTTATATTTGCGTTAGGGAAACATGCCCTTGAAAGTATTGAGAGCGCCAAGAGATTCAAGGACCTTTAGACTCCAAGGACTGCAGTCGGTTGCCAGTTTGGAGGCCGTTCGCAACGTATACGTAGTGACCTTGCTTTTACGTATTCCCTGTTTTCTGCACACGTTTTATTCGCGTTTTAATTTTACATTTATTCAGTTTTTAATGTTTATGTCCACATGAGCAGTAATGCTAAGAAATTGCAGCAATAGTTGGAATGGCATACTAAATAGAAAGTAGAATAATACTCAATACTTGATACATTCCTCAAGAGAGAGTTTATTTGTGCATTAGTGCTGATTTTATAATAACTTTCTTTTAAATCTTTAATGGGTGTAATTACCTCTGTTAGATAATAGTGATTGATGCTTGCAATGAGTGTTCTCATTTATTTTACGTTAATAGTTTTTAAGTAATTTACTGTAAAAACTTTACCTAAAAATAATTTTACAATAAAATAAATTACACAGGTTTTTAAGGCTTTACCATATACTTAAATTTTACATTCTTAATAATGTTGCCAATGACTGACATAGTTTCTGAAATCAATCACATAAACAGCCATTTAGTATTGAGTGACTGCATCAAAAAACATATGGTTGACCACACTAATGTTGTCACAATACACATGATATTGATCAATAACAATGCAATTAAAACAATTCAATGTAAATGTTTATTGCTGTCAGTTTACATTATGGCCCCTGTGCCAAAGATTGTTTATAATCAATAAACAAAACATAATTAAACAATTGAGATTCCACTTATAAACACAATAAGCATTAATAATTATTTATCTTGATTTATAGCCGTTCCTTCATAACATGTTTAAAAACAAGAAGTAATGTGAACAAAATAAGTTACATGGTGTCCCAAATGCCTATTTCCCAATTAATAAGCAAGGCCTTTCTCTTTACAAATCATTTGGTTATTAACATATAATGTAAAGTTTAGTTTTGATCTATTTTTAATAGGATTCAGTGCTTTTTTAGTTGAAAAAAATTATTGACGCACAAGATTATGTTTATTGTTCAAGTCATAGAAGATGAAATTGCATATCCCACTTGAATTCAAATACCTGTATGTGTTGTCACTCTGCCTGTCTTAGGATCATGAGTCACCGTCTAATTAAAATGAGTGAATCTTTTCCTGTGTTGGGATTGTATTCAAATTTTGTTTATCATACAAGTGACAAATAAATTCCTAGAATTCAGGCATGTTTTAGTATTACACACCTTGTAATGCAGTTATTAGAAGTGTGCTAACCTTACTATTAAAGTACACTAACTTCAAAATGAGACCAAAATATGGTGGGTATTTTAGATGAGGTGATTACCTAAATAATATTAATGTGTTAGAAAATTAATTCAAGTAATTTACCACATGTCATTCTTATGGAATTCAAACTCTACTTGAACAGTCCACTGCCATAAAATAATAGTTTTTTAATAATAGATTTAAACTTTTACTTTTATAGCTCAGTTTTGTGATGATATAACATCCCTTTTATGCATCTAAAGCCTCCATTGCACTGAAGTGGTTGTATGTCAAGCAGGGTTCGAAAATATCCGATATTTATTATAAATATCAAAATATCGGATATTTATGATATATATCCGATATATATCAACTTTGATATATATCAATTTTGTATGAAAGCCATAGTATTATTTTATTGTATTATTCATGAATAATATTGCATATGTGTTACATAAACATGTTTTTTATGTTTTTAAAACTTAAAATCACACAAATAAAGCAAAAACATAAAATATCTTTGAAATACGGCAAAATCAACTAAAAAAATAAAAATCTTATGTCAAAAAGTACAAATACAGTAACAAATTTTAAAAGTTGATATATATCATCAAAACCGGCTTGATATATATCGGATATATATCCGATATATATCTTGATATATATCCCTTGATATATATCCTCGAACCCTGATGTCAAGGTAATAAATTGTGCAATGCAGGTCATGGCCAAAGCTGTCAGAGGGAGGGATGTTTGTCTGGAAGACTAGGCAGCTTTTGAGACATAAGTGTTGATCACATGCTTGTAAATACCTACATTAATGCTAATTGAAGTATATAACAACTATATAGTTGTATGAAACTTTTTTAAATTAAGTCATTGAACGCCGAGACGCTAGACACAATGGAAATTGTTTTGTTCGAGGCTCACCGGTGAGCCGCGTGGCGTCCAACGTGTTAATAAATGGGTCATTCCATGACAAATGTTACCGAGGGTGAAAAACTAAATATGTTCTTTTCGCATTAAATCTGATGAATTTTAAAAGAAAACATTCCAAATTATAATGTGCAACAAAAAAAATCTGCAAGAAACAAGTAATTTTTAAGTTATTAGTCTTCAAAGTCTATACTTAAGTCAACTGTCTGAATGATCATTTTCTCTCTAATTATTGGTAATACGATTAAACAAAAACTATCAATCTGTGAAACGTTTTGCCACTATATGATTTGAGGGTATTTATCATAGTATTGGTAGATAGCGCCATAGTCCCAAAAAAATTTATAATTATCAAGTTTTAAGTGTGTTTTCTTGTTAATTCGGCGATGTAACACCCGAAACAAAAAAACAGGTATTTGTTTTATTATTGTACCTTACACATGGATTAGGATAACAATATTTGGTAAAAGTAAGGTCATGGTAGTAATGATCACAAATACTAACTAATATCTGAGCATGATACTAATTTAGTATGTTTCTTTCTTGATTAAAAACTGTAACACCCGAAACGTATTGGGTATTACATTTTTATTTATATGTCGATAATGTGTGTATATTGCTTGGAGAAGTCAAAAAGTATTACTGTGAGGGTCCTTCGACCTCTCACTAGCGCTGGCATCGAAAAAGGAGTCATATTTCTCTATTTATGACATTTTTGAAATGTCGACTTAACACTAAAATTAAGGTATTGCTAAAAAGTCTCGATGTTTGACATTTCCATTAAATATCGTAATTAGAAATTAAAGTAATGCTATTTCAAGCCAAAAACAATAGAAAAAGCTATATTCTGAGGAAAAATTAAACTTGAACTTTGTATATTTTTAAGAAAAGCTGCTTCGTAATTTCAAACCAGAATTCGCTCTATTTGTGTTTATTTGTTGTACTGCTTATTTTGTAGTACCTAGAGACTAATAAAACACCGATTTTATCGATAAAACGCATTGAATTTTCGTACTCGTAACACCCGAAACAGAAGCATTGTAACACCCGAAACAAAGAAAAAAATTATAAAAAAATAGTAAAACGTTTTATGTAACAGTGATTGTATGTTACATGGTTTGCAAATTTCATACTTTAGAAGTCCTGTAAGTTTTAGGTATGATTCCTTAAGAAAATTCGCTAAATTTCGAGTAAATGCAGCAACAGTCAGAACATAGAGGCAAAATCTCGTAACGCCCGAAACGCACACTTTTCGACTCATATTTTCGTTATCCTACATTCTAAGCTGCACAAACTTTATTATTTAGATAAAACAGCTAAAAACGGACAGATTAAGGCACTAATATTATTAAAATACTATTTCAAAATACAAGAAATTGTTGAATATGTGTGTACAAACGTAACACCCGAAACGATGGAATGACCCAAATGAAAAAGATATGTTTTGTTAAAGAATTTTTGTAGGTAGTTTTACTAACTTCATACAATTTTTTATTGGAGCCGCGTGACTTTTCCTAGATTGCAAAACAGTTTTTAAGCTGCAAATACTTAAATTAAATTGTCTGCTTTGCCCTTTAAATATTGCTTACTGGTTACAACTGATTATTATGCAATAAAATTTATCAAAAAAAATTTTCGTGGATGAGTAATACGAATCCTTGTTAGAGCCCTTTATACAGCAGTGGACGTCATTTAGCTGAAATGAACGAATATATTGTTTGTTTTCAGGGGAAACTAGTGAAGCACTTCTCCCGGCAACTGTTCATCAAAGCGCGGTTCGGTGAGGAGTTGCAGCGGGAGCTGCGAGACGTGCCATGTCTCGCGCAGTGGCTGCGGGTCGTGGGACTGAGCCCCGAGGCAATAGAGGTACGTTAGGCCTCAGCCTCGAGTTTAGCGGGCAGCGGGGCGGGAGCGGCGGCGGCGCGGGAGCGGCAGGATCTTATGCGTAAAATCAAATAGACCGGTTCTCGAAAACAGCGGCGCGGCAGCGGGGCGGGAGCGGGCAACGAGCGGGCAGCGGCGCTTGAGCGGGCAACGAGCGGGCAGCGCACTCCTTCTTTTGCCCACAATAAATCGAGCGTTAGGAATAAATTTGAATCGAAATAAAATTGTCGCCGTTGTTCAAACATTTCGTTTGCGAATAAAAACAAATATCTCGACAACACAACCCCGAACACAACACTTCGCCGCTAAAGCGCGAGCTGCCCGCTTGTTTCGAGAACGGGTCTGCGTTGCCCGCCCCGCTCCCGCGCCGCCGCCGCTCCCGCCCCGCTGCCCGCTAAACTCGAGGCTGAAGCCTTATGGCTGGGAGAGAGGTATAGAGAGCACTCCTCTAGGACACTGTTCATCAAAGCGGGTCGGTGAGAAGCTGCGCCACGTGCCATGTCTCGCGCAGTGGCTGCGGGTCGTGGGGCTGAGCCCCGAGGCGATAGAGGTACGTTATGGCTGGGAGAGAGGTATAGAGAGCACTCCTCTAGGACACTGTTCATCAAAGCGCGTTCGGTGAGAAGCTGCGCGACGTGCCATGTCTCGCGCAGTGGCTGCGGGTCGTGGGGCTGAGCCCCGAGGCGATAGAGGTACGTTATGGCTGGGAGAGAGGTATAGAGAGCACTCCTCTAGGACACTGTTCATCAAAGCGGGTCTGTGAGGAGCTGCAGCGGGAGCTGCGCTGAGGCGATAGAGGTACGTTATGGCTGGGAATGAGGTATAGTACAGGAGATAGAGGACTGAGGAAGAGGTACAGAGAGGGAGAGAGAAGGTTGGGAAAGAAGTATGAAGCGGGGTCTTGGCGACAAGGTTATAGGGGTACAGTGTGGGAGGTGAGGGTTGTGAGGCTGTGCCACGCGATGAAAGAAGTACAGTGTGTCAGATGAGGGCTTCATCCAAGGGTTTTAGTGTTAAGCAAGCAGTAAAATGTTTTCCATATACTATATGACAATTTAAAGCAAGCACATTACCAATTTTCCTGCTAGAAAATCAAGAAATCAAAATCTTTATTTGACTGTCCCTTATTTACTTGTGTACTATAATGATGTTGACCACATTCCAATCTTGTTCCAGGCAATATGCACCCGTGTCGGTTCTCTGGAAGAGCTCAGAGAGCGATCCGATCACGAGTTACGCGCTCTGTTGGCCGGAGCTCGCGACGAGGAAGTGCGGCGGCTCTGCCGGGCCATGCACCGGCTCACCACCTATACAGGTGCGTGCGATTGTAGTCCTAATGACGCAGGTAACAAGGTCTGTTCTCTGGAAGAATCGGAGAGCGATCGGACCACGGGTTACACGCTCTGCTTGCCATGCACCGGCTCACCACCTATACAGGTGCGTGCGATTGTAGTCCTAATGAGGCAGGTAACAAGGTCTGTTCTCCGTGCGCTGCTGACATGATAATGCGACAAGGAACTTCGGCGTCTCTGCCGGGCCATGCACCGGCTTACCACCTATACAGGTGCGTGCGATTATAGTGCTAACGACGCAGGTAACAAGGTCTGTTCTTTGGAAGAGCTCAGAGAGCGATCGGACCATGAGTTGCGCGCTCTGCTTGCCATGCACCGGTTCACCACCTATACAGGTGCGTGCGATTGTAGTCCTAATGACGCAGGTAACAAGGTCTGTTCTCTGGAAGAGCTCAGAGAGCGATCCGAACCACGAGTTGCGTGCTCTGCTTGCCGGGCCATGCACCGGCTCACCACCTATACAGGTGCGTCGTGCGATTGTAGTCCTAATGCCGCAGGTAACAAGGGTCTGTTCTCTGGAAGAGCTCAGAGAGCGATCGGACCACGAGTTACGCGCTCTGATTGCCATGCACCGGCTCACCACCTATACAGGTGCGTGCGATTGTAGTCCTAATGCCGCAGGTAACAAGGGTCTGTTCTCTGGAAGAGCTCAGAGAGCGGTCGGATCACGAGTTGCGTGCTTTGCTGACCGCGCGTGACTAGGAAGTGCGGCGGCTCTGCCGGGCCATGCACCGGCTCATCACCTATACAGGTGTGTGCGATTGTAGTCCTGATGACGCAGACAATAAGGCCTCAGCCTCGAATTTAGCGGGCAGCGGGGCGGCGGCGGCGGCGGCGCGGGAGCGGCAGGATCTTATGCGTAAAATCAAATAGACCGGTTCTCGAAAACAGCGGCGAGGGAGCGGGCAACGAGCGGGCAGCGCACTTCTTCTTTTGCCCACAATAAATCGAGCGTTAGGAATAAATTTGAATCGAAATAAAATTGTCGCCGTTGTTCAGACATTTCGTTTGCGAATAAAAACAAATATCTCGACATCACAACCCCGAACACAACACTTCGCCGCTAAAGCGCCGCGCGAGCTGCCCGCTTGTTTCGAGAACGGGTCTGCGTTGCCCGCCCCGCTCCCGCGCCGAAGCCGCTCCCGCTCCGCTGCCCGCTAAATTCGAGGCTGAGGCCTAAGGGTCTGTTCTCCGTGTGCTGTTAGCTGGAGCTCGCGACGAGGAAGTGCGGCGGCTCTGCCGGGCCATGCACCGGCTCACCACCTCTACAGGTGTGTGCGATTGTAGTCCTAATGTCGCAGGTAACAAGGTCTCAGTGAGCGATCGAACCACGAGTTGCGTCACCACGTCTGCTGGCCGAAAATAAGTGATTTTTATGACTTTATCGGATTGATAAACTCAAAAGGTTCTTTTAAATTCACTGCCACTGGTTTCTGTAGTACCAGACGACGTGTCGCTAACTACGAGTGGTATTTGTTTCATAAAAATACAAGAGAAACCAGTAGTGTCGCGATTACACGTCGCCTGTTGATGCTGCTGCGTGTCTCTTTTATTTACCAGAAATAATCGATTTATCACTTTAATTATTTATTTATTTTTGCAGAGGCCCTAGCGAAAGGCGAAGGCGGCGCCCAACTCCAGCTATTCTGGGATTCATGGGAGAGACACGGGCACGCGCGAAACTCGCCGCGACCGCGCGCGCGTAACCACAAACCCGAAACGCACCCCCCACCTCATCCACACCAAGCGACGCATGGGAAGAAAGGTAAGCATAAAGTTATACTTATAAACAAGCCAAGCCCGGTCTGTGAGCACGTAGAATTTTGTCCAATGACCCCAAGCTACCCATCCTTATCGCTCGCGCGTAATTATATTGCTGTCGCGACTGTGCGACGGGTGCCCGCAGTGAGTGTGCGAGCGCGACAGCAACATAATTACGCGCGGGTAGTTTGAGGTCATTGGACAAAATTCTACGCGCTCACAGATCAGACTATAGGCCTTGTCTATAACGAAAGACAGCATGGGAAGAAAGGTACAGGTGTGTGCAATACGAGTCCTAATGAGGCAGGCAATAAGGGTCTTTTCCCCGCGCCTGCGTGTGCGCAATTATAAGCCAGAGACGCACCCTCCGCCGCACCCGCACCAAGCGACGCATGGAAAGAAAGGTACTTATGACGCAGACAATAAGGGTCAATTCTCCGCACGTAGTTATAAACAAGCCAAGTGTTTAAACAAGGAGGGTGGTTCTCAACTCCAGCTATTCTGGGACTCATGGGAGAGACACGGGCACCCGCGAAATTCGTCGCGCCTGCGTGTGCGCAATTATAAGCCAGTAACGCACCCTCCACCTCACCCACACCAAGCAACGCATAGGAAGAAAGGTAGGCATAGAGTTTTTTTTTTATCCACAACGAGGAAGCTCTTGGCCTGTATAAGCGAACTTCACCCGGACTCCTCAACCACGGAGGAACTGGCTATCTTACCTCTAATTGCCGGAACACAACAATGCTGTTAACATTGTTGTTATGGCGACAGACATAGGTATGGTGGTAGCTAGCCAGGCGGACTTAAAACAAGCCCTACCACCAACCAAACCGAACAGAAAAATCTGCTTCTACTGGGAATTGAACCCAGGACCTCTGCGTCTGAAGAAGGTGGTCTTACCACTAGACCACAGCAGAGGCGGTTGAATGTTGAGTCATAGACAAGCCTAGGCCTTGTTTATAACGAAAGACAGCATGAGAAGAAAGGTACGGGTGTGTGCAATACGAGTCCTAATGAGGCAGGCAATAAGGGTCTTTTCCTCGCGCCTGCGTGTGCGCAACTATAAGCCCGAAACGCACCCCTCACATCACCCGCACCAAGCGACGCATGGGAAGAAAGGTACTTATGACGTAGACAATAAGGGTATATTCTCCGTGCGCAGTTCGCCGTGTCCGCGTGCCCGCAACTCGCATAAAGTGACGCGATGAAGAAAGATGCTTATGACGCAGGCAAAAAGGGTCAATTCTCCGCACGTAGTTATAAACAAGCCGGGTGTTTAAACAAGGAGGGTGGTTCTCAACTCCAGCTATTCTGGGATTCATGGGAGCGACACGGGCACGCGCGAAACTCGCCGCGACCGCGACCGCGTAACCACAAGCCAGAGACTCACCCTCCACCTCACCCACACCAAGCGACGCATGGGAAGAAAGGTAGGCATAAAGATATAGTTAGCCTAGCTAACTACAATGGCGCTCAATCACTCGTAACTCCTAATAATCAATAACTCGCAAGAAAGACGTAAGCGCGCGCGCAACTATAACCGTTAGATACACACCCCCATGGGAAGACAGGTACAGGTGTATGTGATACCAGTCCTAATGAGACAGACAATAAGGGTCTGTTCTCCGCGTGCAGCTCGCCATGCCCACGCGCGCGCATCCACAGGCCAGAGACGCTCCTCCCACCTCATCCTCACCAAGTGAGGCATGGGAAGAAAGGTACTTATGACGCAGACAATAAAGTTCAATTCTCCCACGTAGTTATAGACAAGCCGGGTGAAAGGAGGGTGGTTCTCAACTCCAGCTATTCTGGGACTCATGGGAGAGACACGGGCACGCGCGAAACTCGCCGCGACCGCGTGCGCGTAACCACAAGCCTGAAACGCACCCCCCACCTCATCCACACCAAGCGACTCATGGGAAAAAAGGTAGGCATAGAGTTTTTTTTTTTATCCACAACGAGGAAGCTCTTGGCCTGTATAAGCGAACTTCACCCGGACTCCTCAACCACGGAGAAACTGGCTATCTTACCTCTAATTGCCGGAACACAACAATGCTGTTAACATTGTTGTTATGGCGACAGACATAGGTATGGTGGTAGCTAGCCAGGCGGACTTAAAACAAGCCCTACCACCAACCAAACCGAACAGAAAAATCTGCTCCCACTGGGAATCGACCCCGGGACCTCTGCATCTGAAGAAGGTGGTCTTACCACTAGACCACAGAGGCGGTTGAATGGCTAGCCTATGCCTTGACGACGACAGACAGCTTGTGAAGAAAGGTACAGGTGTGTGCAATACGAGTCCTAATGAGGCAGGCAATAAGGGTCTTTTCCCCGCGCCTGCGTGTGCGCAATTATAAGCCAGAGAGAACCTGCCGCCACACCCGCACCAAGCGACCCACGGAAAGAAATGTAAGCATAAAGTTATTAACCCCAGCGAGACTACAATGGCGCTCGATTATTCGTGATGATCGATAACTCGTAAGAGAGACGCCAGCGCGTGCCTAACCACAAGGTGCTGGAGACACCCCAATGAGAAGCAAGGTACAGTCGCGGAATGAAAAGGTTCGTCACCTTAGTGTCGGTTTTCGCTTGCACTAGGTACTGTAAGAGTCAAACCTGCCAACATTACAGTGCAAGAAACAGTGCTGCTAACATTTAAATAAATATGACGTTTGCTAACGAATAAGGTTTTGCTTGTTTATTTTTCTATCCCATCAGTGCAATGCAGTGATGACATTGACCAATTGACAATAGTTTTTTTTTATTTAATAGAAATAATAATGGCAGGTTGAACCAACAAGAAGGTTTCAATCAATCATGATAATCTTCTTGACAAGATAAATCGTCAAACAACTTTGATCTGAATAATTTTGAACTTTACTTACGAACCGTTAAAGCTTATTTTCTCTAACTCGAGGTTATTCTGTAACATAGTTTCAAAAGGTAATATGTGCTCGCGATTCGTTGAAGGAATCAATTTGAAAACTGACGAATCTTTTCATTCCGTGACTATACAAATGTGTGCGATAAAAGTTCTAATGAGACAGACGATAAGGGTCTGTTCGACGCAAGGGAAGAAAGGTACCTAGCATAAAGGATGTTTAGTGCTACATTGCAGCTTCTTTCAGTCCAATATTTAATGTTTGACATGGCTGTAGATGTACTACATGTGCATGTAGCTCAGTAAATTGTCTTGATGAATCCCATCTTAGACCACTGCCTCGTGTTGTGTCTTCAAGCTGATGTTTATATTCGCGAACAAAATGTCTGAACAACGGCGACAACATTTTAACTCACAGACGCGCGGACTGTCATCGCTTGACTGAGTGCACCCCTAATCGCCGCACCGCTGTTTTCGAGGGCCGGTCTATTTTTAACTATATGCAAAAATAAGAGCCTGAGCTAGACCTGTTTTATACCATCCCATATCATTAAAACTAATAACAAACATTTATCCACAGGTGGCAAATCCCCTACAACCCCAGTGAGCAAGCGGAAACAGAACTGTAGTCTACCTGCGCCCGCCGCCTTGACCAAGTCCAGGTCGCACGAATCCCAGTTGTCAGTGCGGCCAGACGCCTCCGATCTTAGGTGAGTGCCATTTTGAACCTTATTACTTAAGCATAGTGATAAAGAATATGTGAAATTCATTTCTGAATTGTGAAAATGACATGCTTAAACTGCAATCGACGTCACAACATAATCTCCAAAGAATTTTGAACCTTACAACTTAAGTATAAGGGTCAAGATCAAGAGTACCCGAATATGACGTTTACTTTCCGATTAACAATTGTCATTTTTCTGACATTGGATAGTGGCCCATTGGCCATAGATGGGTTATAGTCGATCTGCCACAGATAAAAAGTAAAAGATAAAGAAAACCATTAAAATTCGTCACATTATTTCTAACTCGTTTTAAATTTAAATCTGACGTTCGTCGACGCACCTTTACATTAACGCCCATGTGGCAACTTTCTTACGAGATTACACTATCAATGTGTGTATGGCTCTGAGACGTGGTCGCTTACTATGGGCCTCATAAGAAGGCTCAAGGTCACCCAAAGAGCGATGGAGCGTGCTATGCTCGGAGTTTCCCTGCGTGATCGAATCAGAAATGAGGAGATCCGTAGGAGAACCAGAGTGACTGACATAGCCCGCAGAATCGCTAAAATCAAGTGGCAGTGGGCGGGGCACATAGCTCGAAGAGCTGATGGCCGCTGGGGCAGGAAAGTTCTTGAGTGGCGACCACGAGCTGGAAGACGTAGCGTGGGCAGGCCTCCCACTAGGTGGACCGACGATCTGGTAAAGGTCGCGGGAAGTACCTGGATGCAAGCGGCGCAGGACCGGTCTTTGTGGAAATCCTTGGGGGAGGCCTTTGTCCAGCAGTGGACGTTTTTCGGCACAGAATAAGTAATAGTACAGGTACAGAAGGATTACTCCGCAAGACGATTTAAATAAATGCGAGTCTTGCTACGACGCGATACAGTGGAATTCAGCTCGCACAGCACTACGTACCTACAATTTTATTCACCTACAAGTTTTGTCTCTTTCTATCGCGTGCCTCTGAACTTTTCTTACGCTGTTAGGGTTGCTGTCTAGTGAAAAAATATTAAACTACTTATTTGTAATGAGGTACGTATGTAGGTAAGTATGCATTCATTATGGAAAACCTTGGGAGAGGCCTTTGTCCAGCAGTGACGCATTCTGAGCAGTAGTCATAGTAGGTTAGGTTCCTATACTATCCTAGTAATTATTGATTACCCACTTGGCCAACATACCTTTCAGCATCTTTGGGAAGCGAAAAAAAAGATGAATCCGGTAGATTACTTTTCGAATTTAAACACCCGAACGCCGCACAATATTTCTTTCTCTTTATGTCCATTTTTAAATAATACTTCGATCATAGAATTATAATCAATCATACTACAACGCGCGCCAGCGTCCTGACGAGCGCGCGCGTGACACTCGACTGATATAATACCCGCCGGCGGGGCGCTTCGCTGTAGGTAATTATCGGATGTAACGCGCGGAGTGAGCCAGGCCTGCTTTCGGCTGAAACGAACGAACGAACACTATCAATGTGTTGAATTTATAAACGTGTGATGAATCGACTTTGTGGCAAATTGATAACGACACAGATTATAAATATTTGAAATTGAATATTCATATTTTTTACGCAAACAATTTGTTGATTCTCCTTGAGCACGAGAATCATCATTTTTTTTTTAAAGATTATTAGCAACTAGCTTTCCGCCCGCGGCTTCGCCCGCGTGGAATTTTGTCTGTCACAGAAAAACTTTATCGCGCGCGTCCCTGTTTCAAAAACCGGGATAAAAACTATCCTATGTTCTTTCCCGGGACTCAAACTATCTCTATGCCAAATTTCATCAAAATCGGTTGCGAGGTTTAAGCGGGAAAGCGTAACAGACAGACAGACAGACAGAGTTACTTTCGCATTTATAATATTAGTTGGGATTTGTATTGCCCAAATTACTAATAGTCCCATAAGCCCCTCGTGTTAAGCTAAATAAGCTTGTGTTACGAGTGGGCTCACCACAATAGTCGAGCGGCGGTGGGATTCGAACCCGCGTTCCTCGGATCTCGAGTCGGCCACTCCGACGCCTTCACCGGCTAATATCGTGGCTAATCAATTTCTTACATATTTTTTTTGAAAATTATAAATAACTTGAAAAAATCGAACTGCCTAAGGCGGGAATTGAACCCACGACCTTCCGCTTGCCGGGCGACTGCTCTTCCAACTGAGCTACTTAGACACTGGATGAAACATTATAATTTTCAAATTAGTTTGAGATGCGACTCTTAACGCTAAAAATTTAATAACAATTTCTTACAGCCTGTATTTACATTGACTTGTCACCTTGCAGCGACAACAGCCAGTCGTCCGCAGTAGGCACGACGGAGGGCACGCCGCCTGCTTCGCCGCCGCCGGAACCCGACACAACGCCTCTACACCGCCCGGCGATATGCAATAACAACGTAAGTGAAAACTTTTTTATCCGCACCGGCCTTTGTCCGTGCTAAAACCTGGTCTGCGAGCACGTAGAATTTTGTCCAATGACCTTGGGGTCATTGGACAAAATTCTACGGATGCTTGGGCTACCCATCCTTATCGCTCGCGCGTAATTATGTTGCTGTCGCGCTCGCACACTCACTGCGGGCGCCCGTCGCACAGTCGCGATAGCAATATAATTACGCACGAGCGATAAGGATGGGTAGCTTGGGGTCATTGGACAAAATTCTACGTGCTCACGGACCAGGCTTTAGCAACTCCATTTTTTGGCAAAGCTATAATAAACTTTGCAGATGTGCCGACAGGCGATTTTTAATAGAAAAAACTTGGAGTCACTGCTGTTATCACTAGCACAGCTGTATAGGTCGCGCAGCAAAAGATAGCATAGTCGACACAGTTAACCATGGTTGTATGCAAACTGCTAACTATACAAACACTATGGACGTTTCGCTTGTGCTTCGCTCGCGAGCGAAGTTAAAATAGTTTAGCTCTTGGTCTGCATCCCACATTATTGTTTACTAGCTTTTGTCCGCGGCTTCACCCGCGTGAAATTCAGTTTGTCACAGATCGTCATAAATTATAGCCTAAATGTTATTCTGAGTTATCTACACTAATATTATAAAGAGGAAAACTTTGTTTGTTTGGTTGTAATGAATAGGCTCAAAAACTACTGGACCGTTTTTAAAAATTCTTTCACCATTCGAAAGCTACATTATCCACGAGTAATATAGGCTAAATTTTATTTTGGAAAAAATAGGGTTTCGTAAAATATGTAGGCTATATAATGTAGTCCACGAGGGCGACGCTGCGGGCGGAAAGCTAGTAAACAAAATCGTAAAGTTTCATCAAAATCCGTTCAGTAGTTTTTGCGTAAAAGAGCAACAAACATCCACACAAACTTTCGCATTTATAATATTAATGAGCAGTTGAATCTTTGACTCGGGCGCAAATAATGACAACGATCGAACGATCGGAAGTCAGACGAGGCGAAGCTAAGTTGCTCGAAGCGAAGTAATTTGTATGCCAGTAAAGCCCGGTCTGTGAGCACGTAGAATTTTGTCCAATGACCCCAAGCTACCCATCCTTATCGCTCGCGCGTAATTATATTGCTGTCGCGACTGTGCGACGGGCGCCCGCAGTGAGTGTGCGAGCGCGACAGCAACATAGTTAGATAAGGATGAGTAGTTTGGGGTCATTGGACAAAATTCTACGTGCTCGCAGACCAGACTAGTGTAGCTGAGGCTTATATTCTCCCATTCTTTCCAGGCAACCTTCGGCGCTCCCCGCTCTCCCAGAACGCCGACCGTCAGCCGCTGCATGGCGCACGACATCGCGCACCGCTTCACCAAGACATTCAACATGATCGCCACCTGCGACTACTGCGACAAGCAGATGCTCTTCGGCTCCGGGCTCAAGTGCAAGGAGTGCAAGTTCAAGTGCCACAGGTGACACGATCACGCAACCTAAACCTAAGGCCCAGAACAGACGGTGAAACGCAACTGCAACGAAACTGCAACTGCTAGTTACTTTTGAGTTGCATCTAAGTTTCTGCCTTAGCGTCCGTTGAGAGACCACACATGACGCGACCAGTTTGAAACTTTCAGTTTCAGTTTCATTCATCAAAATCATCAGAAAGTTGCAGTTTCGTTGCAGTTGCGTTTCACCGTCTGTCCTGGGCCTAGTTCGCATACTTTGCCGCAAAGTGTCATCAGTTTGTCGATCGACCAGTGACGGTGCGCACGCAAAATAGGTATTTATCTTTAAGTGCTGTCGTCTGCACAAAACCAGGAAGGCACCCTAACTCCACAAATCGGCAACCCAAGAGAGAAGAAAGAATCGATATTAATTACTTTAAATGTATTGTATCATCACCATTTCAGCCATAGGACGTCCACTGCTGAACATAAGCCTCCCCCAATGCTTTCCATGTTGATCGATTGGTAGCGGCCTGCGTCCAGCGCTTCCCTGCTACCTTTATGATGTCGTCGGTCCACCTTATCGGTGGACGTCTCACGCTGCGTTTTCCGGTACTCGGCCTCCACTCCAGAACCTTGCTGCCCCATCGGCCGTCAGTTCTGCGTACTATGTGCCCTGACCAATGCCACTTCAGCTTGCTAATCCGTCGGGCTATGACTAGTTCGTTTACGGATCACCTTATTTCTGATTCTATTCGATGCAAATACCCTATGTTTTGTATACTCTTATTCATTTGTAAATTTTTGTTGCAGAGACTGCGAAAGTAAAGTTCCTCCTTCGTGCGGCCTTCCGCCAGAGTTTGTGGTCGCGTTCAAAGAAAAATTTCACAAAGACGGTAAGTTAAATTACGATTTTAGCAAGAGTAATAACAACTTCTACCTACCAGAATTTTACGTAATATTGTACGGTGTGTTAGTCCCGTACAAACAGTTTTAGTTTGGGCACTTTTTCGGATAAGATAAATTCTTTTAATTCTTTTAGATCCCTTTTTATGACATGCGCAGATGAGGGATATTTATCCACCGATAACATTACTTTTTGCATTACTTTTAGACGTCTATGTGGGTTACTCAATACAGTTTGTAGAGATTACTGGTTTATCAATGGACATAAAGTACCTTGTGGATGTCGCGCGTCTCGAATATAGCTTAGCTTAGAGCAGTGGTTCCTAACCTTTTCAATGTGGTTCCTTACCCCTGTGAACAAGTATGAGAATTGAGTTTACCCCTAGCTAATCTATCTATCTATCTATATAAATAAAAATGAATTGATGTTCGTTAGTCTGATTAAAACTCGAGAACGGCTGGGCCGATTGAGCTGATTTTGGTTTTAAAATGTTTGTCGTAGTCCAGGGTAGGTCTAAACGGTGAGCAAATACGCGCGCGATAGTGTTTTTCAGTGACAAACAAAATTCCACGCGGGCGAACCACAAAAATCTCGGCGGCGGTCTCCTGCGGCTCTACAGAATTTAAGAATTTCGTGGTGGGATTAAATGCCCATCGTAAAATGTACTCTGTAACCGAAGGCATACGATACATTTTACGACGGCCAAATGTACCCCCACCACGCAATTTTTTGCTAAATAAGTTTGGCGCGGCCTATAAAGTACTATTATTTTGTTTATTGCTATTTTAATACTTTTTCGTGCCATTCCGTGTTACCCCTCTAGAATTTCCGATTTACCCCTGCGGGGGTAATTACCCCCAGGTTAGGAACCACTGGCTTAGAGTGTGTCATGCTCCTGATAGGTAGTGACTGATAAAAGACCTTTTAATAAGTTAAACAAGAGCCATTTATTGAATGACATAAGTTATACAAGTTTTTATTCCTTACAGCAGCGCCGGTGACAGGCGGGTACTACGGCTGCGCGTCACCAGTGTCAACTCGCGCGGGCGCGGGATTATTCTCGTCGTTCACGAGCCGCCCGCGTCGTCGTCACGCGCCGCAGCCGCACCACCACCATACGGTATGTGAACTTTATGTCTTTGGTGTAAGGTGCTAAATTGATTGCGGCCATAAGACACTTGATGTTTTGAAGGAGGTTATTCTCGTCGTTCACACAGCCGCACCACCACCACACGGTATGTGGACTTTATGGCTTTGGAATAAGGTGGAGAATTAATTGAGAAAGGTACTTTGTGGGGGGTTATTCCAACGGTGAGATTTTGAACTTTATGGCTTTGGTGTAAGGTGCGAAATTGATTGAGGAAATTAGGTGATTTGTGGGGGGTTATTCTCATCGTACACCAGCTGCCCCCGCCACCGCCACACGGTGAGATTTGAACTTTATGGCTTGGGAGTAAGGTGGAGAATTGATTGAGCACATTTTAAGGGGGGGCTATTCTCATCGATCACAAGCCAACCGCGCCGCCGTCACGTGCACTACATGGTGAGACTTTGAACTTTATGGCTTTGGTGTAAGGTGCAGAATTGATTGAGGCAATTTCATGTTTTGGGGGAGGTTATGCTCGTCGTTCACGAGCCGCCCGCGCCGCCGCCACGCGCCGCAGCCGCACCACCACCTCACGGTATTGAACTTTATGTCTTTGGAGTAAGGTGGAGAATTGATTGAGGAAATTTGGTGATTTATGGCGGGTTATTCTCATCGCTCACACAGCCGCACCACCACCACACGGTATGTGGACTTTATGGCTTTGGAATAAGGTGGAGAATTAATTGAGAAAGGTACTTTGTGGGGGGTTATTCTCATTGTTCACACGCCGCAGCCGCACCACCACTACATGGTGAGACGTTGAACCTTATGGCTTTGGTGTAAGGTGCGAAATTGATTGAGGAAATTTGGTGATTTGTGGGGGGTTATTCTCTTCGCTCACCAGCTGCTCGCGCCTCCGCCATACGGTGAGATTTGAACTTTATGGCTTTGGTGTAAGGTGCGAAATTGATTGAGAACGGGGGGCTATTCTCATCGATCACGAGCCAACCGCGCCGCCGTCACGTGCACCACATGGTGAGACTTTGAACTTTATGTCTTTGGAGTAAGGTGCAAAATTGATTGAGGAAGTTTGGTACTTTGTGGGGGGGTTATTCTCATTGTTCACACGCCGCAGCCGCACCACCACCACACGGTGAGATTTTGAGCTTTATAGCTTTGCTGTAAGGTGCAATATTGATTGAGGACTTAGGCAATTTGTAGGGGGTTATTCTTGTCGCAATTTCATGTTTTGGGGGAGGTTATTCTCATCGTTCACGCGCCTCAGCCGCACCACCCCCACACGGTATGTGGACTTTATGTCTTAGGAATAAGGTGGAGAATTGATTGAGAACGAGGGGCTATTCTCATCGATCACGAGCCAACTGCGCCGCCGTCACGTGCACCACACGGTGAGATTTTGAACTTTATGGCTTTGGTGTAAGGTGCGATATTGATTGAAGAAATTTGGTGATTTGTGGGGGGTTATTCTCATCGCTCATCAGCTGCCCCCGCCACCGCCACACGGTGAGATTTGAACTTTATGGCTTAGGAGTAAGGTGGAGAATTGATTAAGAACGGGGGGCTATTCTCATCGATCACGAGCCAACCACGCCGCCGTCACCACATGAGACTTTGAACTTTATGGCTTTGGTCTAAGGTTCGGAATTGATTGAGAATATTTGAAAGTTTGTAGGTAGGAGCTGAATTCTGGCTTTATTAAATGACCTCAAATTTTATCCCACTGTTAACCGTATTTTGCAACCCCCAGTTGGCACCACCAGCAATTTATTAAATTTAATTAGGAATTTAATTCTTTAGTATAGTTGTTGCAATTCACGAAGGCGAATGAGCTTTACATGTGTGATGACTCGCTACTGTTCGTTTTTTAAAAGTTTTGATAGACATCTTTATGTGTATGTACACGTACACACACAAGTAAAGCTCATTCGCCTTCGTGAGTTGCAAGAACTATAGTATGATTAAGGCGCCAACTGGTGATCGCGAGAATAGATAAAACCCGAAAAAAAAAAAGATACTTGCGAGATCGCAAATTCGTTTTAAAAATACGCCTTTTCTAAAATACACAAAACTTCTGCAAAAACGTATGTTTATTAACGTGTACCTCCAACAGGGCAATCCGGACTCCTCATCGAACACATCATCCTGCAACAGCTCGACTCCATCGTCGCCGGCACTGTGCGCGCCCGCGCCCGCCACGCCGCACCACCCGCCGCACGGCGCCAAGCAGCAGTTCCACTTCCCAGGTCAGTTGGCGCCGTCACTTACACTTCAAATTGTTAGTAATCTCCTGCAACAGCTCGACTCCATCGTCGCCGGCACTGTGCGCGCCCGCGCCCGCCACGCCGCACCACCCGCCGCACGGCGCCAAGCAGCAGTTCCACTTCCCAGGTCAGTTGGCGCCGTCCCTTTTAATTCAACTTCTTAGCTCAGTTGGCGTCTCTTTCAGTCAGTTCAGTCCAAGTCAGTTAGCGCCACAACACCTCCTAGGTGATTTGGCGCCTAGCTCAGTTGGCGCCAATAAGGTTATTATTTACAGTTCCACTCCCCAAGTCAGTTGGCGCCACAACACTCTTATAGTTCCACTTCCTAGGTGATTCAGCGCCTAGCTCAGTTGCCTCCAAAAAGGTTTTTTACGGTTCTCTTTACCAGGTTAGTTAACGTCACCACACACTTTCTTTCAGTTCTACTTACCTTATGAATTGGCGCCCCCGCACGATTTTTTCAGTTCCACTTTTCAGATTAGTTTATACTGCACTAAGTTGATAACTATTTTAGTTTATTTTATTTATTACACGGCTAATTACATAAATGAAAATTAACTTGATTCACACAAGATATAACCACCCAAAAACAATAATAATATACGAGTATATGAAATTAACAGATAATTTAATACTTTACGTAGCAACGTTTGTTCGTTCAGAAGTGAAGACGCCGGTATCCAGTCCGAACCACGCGTCCGTACAGTCCCCGGCGCGAATCTCCAACGATCACAAAGACGACCTCACTTCAAGCGTCAAGAGCGGTGAGTTAAACTTGAAAAATGTTAGACATTGACCTGGTATCTGAATTGAGATTTCCAGCTTGAGCAAGCACAAAATGTTAAGGATAAATTTAATATGAAAAGTTCATATTTTAATTCAGAGACTGGGCTATTTAATTGCTCATACTTCAATGTTTTTAATCGATGTCCAAAACCCCAAATTTCAAAATCGGGCGATCTTGTCGTCCAGTGCAAATCGCCAAAACGAGAGTATAAGCGACCTGGAAATGCCTGCTTCAATAATTATCCCGCATTCTGGAGTATGGCGACTCATGGCTATTTTCTTCAAATAAATTATAAAAAATACATTGAAACACTTCGAATTTGAGCGCGCATCCGCGCGCATTTGAACCCGGTGGCGTTTTGAAACCTGCTTACGGGCATACTTAACTCCACGGAATCCATGAAAAACTAATAGAACTGAAACACCCACGTTCTATTGATAATATTATGTCAATTTTTCACTCGACATTGGCAGAAATAAACCTCGGAAATAAAATAAAAAATGTCAAAACCTATTTGACATTTGATGTCCTCCAATAGGGTGATTACTTTTGCCCCACCTTGTACAGTTACGGAATGAAAAGGTTCGTCAGTTTTCAAATTGGTTCCTTCAACGAATCGCGAGCACATATTACCTTTTAAAACTATGTTACAGAATAATCTCGAGTTAGAGAAAATAATCTTTAACTGCTCGTCAGTAAAGTTCAAAATTATTCAGATCAAAGTTGTTTGACGATTTAACTTGTCAAGAAGATTATTATGATTGATGAACTTAAAACCTTCTTGTTGGTTCAACCTGCCATTATCTATTAAATAAAAAAACTACATTTTGTGACATTTCTCTGATGGGATAGAAAAATAAACAAGCAAAACCTTATTCGTTAGCAAACGTCATATTTATTTAAATGTTAGCAGCAATGTTTCTTGCACGGTTATGTTGGCAGGTTTGACTCTTACAGTACCTAGTGCAAGCAAAAACCGACACTAAGGTGACGAACCTTTTCATTCCGCGACTGTACTTATGCCACATAAATTGTTAACGCTCAACGCGTTATTATACAGACGGCTCCCGCGGCGTCTCTCTAAGCGGTTCAGGCTCGACGGACAGCGGCGGGCCGCAGCGCGCCGACTCGCTGGACCGAGGCAACAAGCACGCCGACTCGCGCTGGCCGAGGCAGAATAGCGTAAGTACAAGTTTGATTGCTACTTGATTATTTGGAGAAGTATTTTACATTTTGCAACACTTTTTGGTTTATTTTTCTAAAGAAATATTAGGTTAAACAGGGTAACATTGCAAAGTGTTGCCAATTTTTTAGAAACGACGATTTTTTAAGATTAAAAATAAATATGATAAAGCCATATAATTTGGCAAAACTTTGCAATGACACCCTGTATAAGTTAAACATTTAAATAAAACATTTTTGACTTTGACTAATAAATGACACACTCTATTATAGCTCTAAAACTTGATGATATTTACAAGTAACTATAACTTATATTGCCTTGTATTCGAAACATTGATTTAACTTTAAACCTTATACATCAACTTCCGAAACTGAACTGAATTTTATTTAGAAGAAAACGATGTTCAAGTTTCAACGTATGAAAATAACGACAAAAAACCTATATTTACGTACTGTTAATTACCCGGTTCTTGAGATGAAGAATTTTGTACTAGTAGTTGCACAAACAGACAGCGAAGAGTAGTCCAGTTACGAATGATTAGAGGAAACAATTTAAACTCCGAATCGCAAGTATAATAAGTTCAAATGTTAGACGTCGATGACGCATACTGTTCCAGACGAAGCCCTACACGAATTGTTCCCTTAATGACTGCACTAATTGTGCTTAAGCGCTCGTTACGCCGATAACATGCACAGATAAAACTCGGTTTTTAGGGATGCTCGAGTGCATGCTTTATATCGATAAAAGTAGCATGACGAATAGAATGAATTGCTTAAATTTTTTGAATAGTGTAAGTATACATGTACTGTTGGTGTTACTTTGTAAATAAATGAATTAAATTAAAAAAAAAATATTTAATCTGGCTGGAGTATGTATTTAAACTCGCATTCGGATAAAGGCAAACTTTGAAAATATGGGACATGAGAAAGTAAATTCTGAAATTAATAAAGTTAATTTTATTTCCAACTTTAACGCCACATACTAATCGTAAACTAATTGGGGCTTTCACTTCGTCTTTTTAATTAAAAAAATAAAAATGTATACAAAAATCGATTTCATATCACTATTTGATCAAATGGTATAAAAGTTTAGACCTTTATGTAGAGAAGTGTTCTTAAAACATCATAAAATTGAGAAACACGAGTCTCGAATTGAAAAGAAAATATCGATATCGGTAGTCGATGCTGTCCCAACACTATCCGGACATCGTCAGACGCGGGATACTGAGTCAGTGGCGTGATAATAATATCGTGCTGAGCCCTTGATCTCTCGTGACAGTGCGGTCTTTGTGAGCGAAACATGTGCATCTGTGATTGGAAATAATTTCAAGATTGTGTTATAATGACAGACTTTAAAAATCGCCGCAGGTTGTTCGAAGAAGTAAGAATATAAATGTTTTTAAAGTTGCCAGTTTACTTTTTATATTTTAGGCCAATATAATGCGCCATAATCACAGATGAACTGAAATAAAAATAAATCAGTTTATTTATAGTTTTTAATTCTTTTGTCTCTAGTTTGTCGTAAGTTCAATTTCCAGATATGGCAAGTAGCTAATCATTTAAAATTTTCCCTTTAGTACAAAAATTTTTGTTACTACTTCAGTGAGAGTAAAGATTTGAACGAAAATGGTAATAAATAACTGATTTTTTTACCATTTTGAGGTATCATGAGTTCTCAAAGTTTTTCAAACTGTGTCGATAACATACTTATAATTTTTTTTTCTGTTGAACTGATATTTTAAAGGCTTTGTGTCATAGTATCATTGGTTAATGGTGTAACCTATTCAATTTGCTTATATCATTTGCAGCTGTCAATGAAAGAGTGGGACATCCCATACGACGAGCTGAAACTGCTAGAAGTGATCGGGCGCGGTCGCTTCGGCACCGTCTATCGTGGCAGCTGGCACGGCGCCGTCGCTGTCAAGCTGTTACACGTGCACTCGCTTCACTCGGACTGCGTGCCGCTGGATACCTTCAAGCACGAGGTATGATAGACTAGTACCTCAGCTATACTAAAGCCTGGTCCGTGAGCACGTAGAATCCCGTCCAATGACCCTAAGCTACCCATCCTTATCGCTCGCGCGTAATTATATTGCTGTCGCGACTGTGCGACGCGCGCCCGCAGTGAGTGTGCGAGCGCGACAGCAACATAATTACGTGCGAGCGACAAGGATGGGCAGCTTGGGGTCATTGGACGGGATTCTACGTGCTCACGGACCAGGCTTTAGAAGTGATCGGGCGCGGTCGCTTCGGCACCGTCTACCGCGGCAGCTGGCACGGCGCCGTCGCCGTCAAGCTGTTACACGTGCACTCGCTTCACTCGGACTGCGTGCCGCTGGATACCTTCAAGCACGAGGTACGTGCGACTGTAAGAAGAATGGGTCATCCTGGCTGACAAGAATGAGCATTCTTATTTATCCTTCCGAGCCACATCTTGCCGGGAAAGTAAAGTATTATGTTTGGCAGTTTGGCAAAAAAGTCCGAAAATTTGATCTGTTGGAAATTGTATCAAAAAATGTTGGTAAAAAAAAGGAATCAGCCTGATATATCAGGCGAGTTCTCTCATATATTTGTTGTTGTTGTTGTTGTTCCCTCAAATGTTTCTATAAGGTCACAATCTACGTTGAGTATTTATTGGCATATTTTCAGAGATAAATAGATTTAAAACAGTTTTTTTTTAATCTTGGTTGTGTATGATCTTAGTGCACAAACTTGAAACTCCCGTCCGGAGTCGTCAAAGTTACTATGGTAGCTCTAGTTGCCTCTAAACTCTAAATTTTGCTTTTTTCCAGGTGGCAACATTCCGAAAAACCCGGCACGAGAATCTGGTTCTATTCATGGGCGCGTGTATGAAGCCGCCGCGGCTGGCCATCGTGACGTCACTGTGTAAAGGCATGACGTTGTACACACACATCCATCTGAGGAAGGACAAATTCACGGCTAACAAGAGTGTGCTAGTCGCGCAGCAAATATCACAGGTGTGTATCATCAACATGATTATCTTTTAGTGTACACTGCAGGAGGAAGACCCTCTCTAATGAGGGCTATCGTTTTAGCGCTCACCAGTTAGCGCCACTGTAGAGTAAGGTCCTGTCACTTGCTAGTAGCGAAGACAGTGGCACCAACTTGTGAGCGCTAAAGTGGTAGGAGGACTATCGCATTTGCACTCATCAAGATGGCGCCACTGTAGAGTAAGGTCCTGTCAATCGCCAGGGGTGCCAACTGTTAAGTATAAAAACGATAGCCCTCATTAACCAGAGATAAATGAAAGATTTGGACTACATTTCTCATGTTGATCAAATTATAGGTTTAGGAGCTTGGTGTTCTCAAAAATTTTAAAGTTAGTTGCATCTTCAGACGTCCACGGGAAGAGCGAGGATGTTTCTATTTACTCTGCCGGAACCTAGTAGATGCAGACTACAGCATCTCAATATGCACGATAGCAGTAGTTGTGATAGGTTTTCAACAAAAAAATATTTATACAATACAAAAATTATCCTATTGCAGCAAATGAAACAAGCTGTGGTGTCAAGCAATATTTCGTCAGTGTAATTCTTTGGATCTGCCAAGTTTCGGTGTAAAAGTTTCTGTTAATTCGATTTCTTCATAATATTCTATGTCGCCTTATCGTCCTTTCGTAAGGTCGAAAATCAATTTAATGTACTTATTCCTTAATTCCAGGGCATGGGCTACCTCCACGCGCGCGGCATCATCCACAAGGACCTGAAGACCAAGAACATCTTCCTGGAAAACGGGAAGGTGGTCATCACCGACTTCGGACTCTTCAGCGTCACCAAACTTTGCTTCGGGAATAAGTAAGTCAATAGTGCACGTTTTGATTCATCTTTTTAGTAGTCGTTTGTTTTTACCATAGTGTTTGATTTAATTGCGAACCATAGACGTTACAGCGGTCACGTGACATTTATATGTCTGCCATTCTATAAGTGTCTTTAGTTTTTGAACACATTAAACTTTTATCAGAGTAAATACAAATGAGTAGGTTATCTTCATAGAAACGCACCGAGCGCGGTTTGTATGTGAGCGCGCCAATACGCACACACTGACAAAATTCGGCGCAACCACGACTGGCTCCCCGCTAATCCACGCTAAATAAAGTCAGTGTGTGCGTGCGCGCCGCATACGTATTGGCGCGCTCACATACAAACCGCGCTCGGTGCGTTCCTATTTACTCTGCTTTTATAATCCGCTTTTACAAAAACGGCAACGCGCGACAGTTTCCAGGACGACCTCTAGGTTAACGGATCGGCATCAAGTCCGCATCTCCTCGCAGATCTTTGTGCCGTAAAATCTGTCTAGTGCCACTAAATGGCGTCTGCGTGCCACTAGGTGGCGTTGGCGTGCTGCTATCTTGTTGAAGACCGTATTTTGACGCCATTAAATAAATGTTTTGTTTGACTGTAGCGCGCGCGGCGACAGCCTGGGCATCCCGGCGGGATGGCTGTGCTACTTAGCTCCGGAACTGGTGCGGGCGCTCCGCCCCCACGCGTCGCTCCACCTGCCCTTCTCTAAAGCCACTGACGTTTATGCGTTCGGGTACGTTATCATCAGGTCATTTAGATCCGATTTCCGCATCATTTCTCCGCTCAGCTTCGGTTCCGAAATCTGAGGTGGAATTGTGTAAAGCAATCGTAATCATTTGACAGTTCATAACGTACGTTTGAAGCAGAATAATCGTACGTTATGATGTTATGAACTGTCAAATAATTACGATTGCTTTACACAATTCAACCTCTGATTGATTTCATTCAAACACATCTTTCCTTTCCGCTTCGGTGTAAACCTGACCTTATTCTCCTCACTGAGTCCTCACTACCTTCCATCCCATGTTTTTAACACGTTTTTTATGTAATCGCCGTAAACGTGGAAACGTGGAAGTGACCTTCACTCGCGACTCAGTGGCCGCGACAAGCTACCGGTAGCGGCCACTCGTAACTCGTCACATAAATCATCGGTGGCAGTCAAATTTGGTGGGACAAAAGAATGGGGATTTGTCGAAGAAAAATTCTACAAATCCCCCATTGATAATCCAAAAAAAATACACTGTCACATTGATTCAACATTGAAATTTTGATGTCGACCATACAACATAGTACGTTACTTGATCTATAATATTTTTATGTTAAAATTTTGTTCGTCACAGCACCGTATGGTACGAGCTTCTGTGCGGCGAGTACCCGTTCAAGGGGCAGCCACCGGAAGCCATCATCTGGCAGGTGGGCAAGGGCGTCAAGCAGTCCCTCGCTAACATGCAGGCCTCTAGGGATATTAAGGTGAGTGGACTTTGTGTTGATGTTGTTACAGATAAACTTAAACTTCAACCACACCAAGGCCTGCAAATCGCCATCCCATCACACAGAGGCGGCGTAAGGCGTAGGCGACGTGGGCCACCGCCTACGGCCTCGCGGAACAAGGGGCCTCGCGCATCAAAAATTTTGAAAAAATGTATACAAGGTGGAGATGACTATATCACAATACGACAATAAATGCAAACATTGACTATTAAATATAAATTCTTGATAGCTAAACAATGTAGTTAAAAATAAAAATTTATTTTTTTCCAAACAAATTCAGCCATAATCAAACACAAAATTAAGCAACAACACGGTTTTAAGTGACGGACATTATTCTTTAAATAATCACTGAAATCAGAAACTGACAATGTATAGACCTTTGACCCTTTTTTTTTATTATTTCATAAAATCCGTCTTCAGGTCGCCACAGAACAAGGCCTCGCGAAATCTGTCTTGCCCACATCAAATTTAGGTCTTGCCCCGCCTCTGCCATCACAGTCCATGATAGTCCACGCGACCGCTCATTGGCATATGATCGCGATGGCGATTTGCACGCGTTGATGTGGTTGAAGCTTTAGTAGAGAAATTCCGTCAATTAGGAGTGAAGAATCAACTACCTTATTTATTTACTAACTTGGTACCCGACTACGGCAAAACCAAAGGGGTTATCATTTTAGCAGTCATGTATGTATGTTTTTATTTACGTATGTTCTTACGTAGCGTCTAAAATATTTGTCTGATTTTGATTAAGATGTCAATCGATTCATTATAGTGGCCGGAGTAAATGGCAACATTTTAAGGTCAACGCACACTTATTGGGACCGAACGAGTCGAATGCTACGTATACTGTATATTTTTCATACATTTTTCCGTAGTCGGATTTCAGTTTTTTTTAAAATGTATTTATTTTGACATTCATATGTGCCAAATCTTGGTCGCAACTGAATAAAAGACATTTTAATTCAATTTCATTATCTGCAGGACATCCTAATGGTATGCTGGGCGTACCGCGCGAGCGAGAGAGCCGATTTCCCGCGGCTACTGACTACCCTCCAGAAGCTGCCCCGCAAGCGCCTAGCGCGCTCTCCCTCCCACCCGGTGCATCTATCTCGCTCTGCCGACTCCGTGCTCTGAGCCCGCGCTAAGGCGTGCCGGAAGCCTAAACAAACCAGTGCGAATGTACCCGTGGAGTGTGCCTAAGCGGGAATATCTGTGCTTCGGATTTGGAACGTATTCGAAGTTCGAATAGTGAAGTGTGCCAGTTAAAATTCCAGTGTTGCCAGTGGGAAAATCCAGTGGTTTATCTAGACGCGAGGATCGTAGGCGGTTCGTGTGGGAAAGCCGGTTGAAAATAGGTATGCAGTTTGTACAGGAAATGAGGCGACTACCTGGCGAATGATTGATATCTGCTATATGATCTGTCAAACATAATTGGTGATAACCAGGAGTTTGAAATTATAATAATAAAAAGCAATACCAGCTGCATCGTCCACCAGTGTCATCCAATCCCTGACGACATAATACCTGAGCGTCGCGTAGTTGGCTATCTGACAACACTGACAAGCAAATACACACTGCAAATGCACGCTGGACCGGAAAGCGCAATAAAGTGGAGAAGTCGTAACAAGTGGCCCGGTTTTCGTAAATTTCATTGGTCTGTCTGATCACCCATAAAATAACCCATTTTTTAGACATGTCCCTAAAAACCATAGACAAATGTTGCTTTATAAATAGATTGATTTTCCATCAGCCTGTTAGATGAGTATTACTCGGTCCTATTTTTTAAACTATCAAAAAGTTTGCGACCAAATTCATTTACAAAAAATGTCATGAGAGACTCAGAACTGTCTCGTCTACCTAACTAGTGTCTATGGTCAGACGTGCTTAGTTTTCGTCTATGCGATCGTCATTTTAACGTTCAACGCCGAACGTCGCTCTTACTTCGAGTTGCATTGAAATGTGTTACTATAATAAAGTTATAGTTACATAAATTTCAATATTTTTGCGCTATAAACAACATGGGAAGGCAATGTTGCCAGTTATTTTCATTAGTTCCCAGTTTTTTTCGTAGTCTATAAAAAATTCAGAGCTGGCAATCTTGACATCCCATTTTGTGCAATAATTAATTTAATAAATCTTATTGTTATATTTTAATTAATATAGCAAACGGGTAATCGCTACTTAGTAAAACAATTATAAATACAAAAAAAATGTAATTATGTTCATATTATAAAATTATGTAGAAATATCGACTATTGTAAGTAAAATCTTGATCTCCGATTAATCGATAGATTAAATTATATTTTCGTATTTTTAAAATGTGAAAAGTTGACTGCTTTGTTGATAATGTAAATTTTGTACAGTGTTACGGATTTTGCTGTGATTGGTAGCCTTGGGTGCACTGAGCTTTGGGAAGTGTATATAATCAGGTGAACATAACATGCTCTTGTAGTCAATAAAAACTATTTTTACATAATAAACTCTTGCAATTACTTTGTATAGTGTACAGAGGTCAGTGCATACCAAGTTGTGAGAAAAGATGTCACATTAGGATAAGAGTTGACTTTTTAATACCTACTACAGATTATACTTCACTCCGAAAGCATCGATTTTGATCACAAACAAAATTCAGCTTAATAACAGCGTTGAATTCAAATAATTTTACTTTGGAGTAATTTGTAAATAATATAAGAACATTCCTCTCTGTAGGTTGTTGAAGTTTTAAAACTTGATAGTTACTATTTCGAACTAAGTACATTTGTTTGTATAATATTTTAAAGAGTTACCACTTTCTATAATATTTCTAAAGAGGCTTAAATTTAGAACTAGGCTGAATTGACCACTTACGTGATACATTTATTACTTGTATTGTTTGGTTACTTATTTATTACTTTATTTCATTTCTATCTAATTAATTTCTTTCTTCTAATATAGTACATTATTATATTCTATAGTATAATATTCATGAATGATTCTGCAGTAATGTAAAGGTTAGATATCTTTTGAACATAATACTTCTTTTTGTATTTGTTACGGCCGAATACTGAAACACTACTCAAATCTGTCACTCAGCTGACGGGCTCCTAAATTTAAGTATCCTTCAATTTTAAATGGTATTCTCAAACGCTACTCAACGGATTTGAAGCCGTGATCAGCTAAGCAGCTCTCAAATGTTTACATAATGGCAACATTTACCAAAAAAAGTATGTTTTCATTTACACAAATGATAACTTTACGTCTTTTATCCATTACACGCAGCATCGTTTGGTTATGTATTGTCTTTTATGGAAATATACTCAATCAACTTAACATAGAACAGTTTATTTTTAGTTTCTATTATATATAAATCTCGTTTTATCATATAAAAATAATAATGCTTGCATTTTTATTTAATTAAAAAAATAATTTTAAATGTGATACTTTTTATTGTTGAAATCTATTAAGTGGCGATCGTGGACCGAAACGTAACCACAATTGACATTTATCATTGTTGACTGACAGAGCATCAAATTGACAAATCAACAACTCTTGGAAATGCTGCTATGCGATGTCCCCTTAATCCTCAGAAATAGGCATGTTTATGTAAAGCGATTTCATAGCAGCTATTTTGGTTGTTACTTCGTGTCTTCGTGCACTATACGATGCACAGTTGGCTGTTAGATGTGGAAGATATCACCTAGTACACGTTCATAACTTCCCGTTGCGTAGAACAGTAGGGTTATAATAAGTATTTGGTCCACTGGTTGTATGGCATTTGGTGAGGGGTTTCAAAGAGCTTCCAAATTATGAATCCAGAAACAACACCGTTTCTTTAGAGACGCGGAACCTCGCTCGGAGTTGCATGTCATTATAATAATATTTTTCAATAGCGTTCAGCCTTATTGCATTCCTGCGATTAGATCTAGGTATTTCCTCGAGCCTCGAAAGAAATGATAACGATGACACACATTATTTACCACTATTTAGGTCGATTTAGGTATAAGAATAGGATTTAAGATACCGCGCAAGCACTCTCAAATTTAACAGCTGCTTAAGACGATTTGACAGTTGTTTGAGTAATGCTTAGCGTTGAATGGCGTTTCAGTATGCGAAAATTCATTTAAGTGGAGTTTGAGTGCAACTTAATTTGAGAGGTGCTTAAAAATTGAGAACTGCTCAGATATTGTTTTGAGTATGCGAAATGTAAGTTTAGGAGCTGCTTAACTATTTGAGAAGCCGTCAAATATTTAAATGGCGTTTCAGTATTCGGCCGTTAGTCTTTGTGTTATTTAAATGTATCATTTAACTGAAAACCAAATAATATTAGTAATTAAATGTATCTGTATTATTGTTGGACATCAGGGACTTTAAAATGGAATGTATGTTGTAGAAATAATTTCTCAAACTAAAGTCTACATTGAAATAAGTATTAATCTTTCAGTTATTAAAAAATATTGAAACTGTATCTATGTAGGTAAATAAATAGCAATTATTATTATGAAACATTCTCATTTTAAGTCCATGTTTGGCACACAAATACTTAACTGAAATTGTAACTGAATATGTTATTTGTTTAGAACATTGCTCTTCTTCTAACTGTTGATAAAAATAAGTCCTATGACTTAGCCACTCTGTCAATTGTTTTGTAAAGTATTATTGATCACAAACATAAAATAGTTGATAAAATTAAATAAGATAAAAAAAGAAAAAAACAAATTCATTACATAATAAAATGATAAGTAATAGTTTCATGTTTTCTTATTGTTATTTTATTGTTTACTTACTAAATTATTATTAAATTTATCGAAAGGAAATTATTCTGGTCACTCAACTCCTATTAAATTAATAGTTAGTTGTTGTAAATTATAAAATTTGCTGAAGTGACATTGCCACAATAATATGTATATATGTGAAAGTGGCATGGCTTGATCAATTGTATTATATAAATATTTATTCAATAGGTACAGGATAATGATCGGATTGCAATCAGTTGTAGTTTTACAAATGTATTGAGGTTTCAAGTGAATAGGTTAGTTGCATTTGCCAAAATAAATCTCCAATCACTGTTTGTTGTTGTTTCATTTATGTACTTCATTTCAGACACTCAAAATGCACTTACCCTGACCTGACTTACCGTGATGTATAAAAAATCACATAAAATGTGTATAATTGTCAATGTGACATTGTGAACTCCGTCAGTTTATAATATAACGCGTCAGATTGTAAACTAACAGTGGGTTAGGTTAGGTTAGATTGTAATCTAACTATGTGAGATTATAATGTGACGGAATTCACTATTTTACGGTGACATATAGATACCAGAAGAATAGATTTATGTTTCAATTGATTAGAAAAGGAATCTTCTAAATAAAAATAATAAAATTGTGTAAAATAACATTTATTGCAAGCATTTTATGAGACATGTCCAGCAAGAATGCTAGCAATATTCACACACATGCTCTTGATTTCATCACTATTTAGATATTCACATCCTAGGATAGCATTTCCTACCGCTATTGTTTCTCTCATGGAGTTTGCTTTTATCCAAATTCTCCCGTTCATGCCTGCGGCCAGTTCAAACGGCCATTCGTTTTTCAGAGAATTTAGTAATGGGCAATTTGGATTTAATATTTTTCTAACTAGATTTATGGAGCATTTAAAGACAAAGCCTTCATTGAGAACTCCTAAACGACCCTTCTTCCCATTTGAGTCCACACACACAATCTCGGGTTCCATATCTTTACTTGCCACTAGCATTTTGGCATACACAATGTCGCCTATCTGAACTTCTGGTCTATTCTTTTTTGTGGCATTTTCAAAGGATAAGTAGGAAAGTGTGGCCGTACAACTGCCTCCAACATCAACGCGGAACACATCTCCAGCCTTCTGAACAACAACACCTATAACATTCTCCCCTCGCGAAGGAACGTATCGCTTCTGGTAGCTGTCCACCCAGTAAGTGTTTGGCGCTCGTTTCCTCAGAACTCCAGGTTTTGTGATAAATATTTTGTCTAGTTCTTTCCGCAGGCCAGGCCCGAGGATCACTCTGCTCTTTTCGCCGGCTTTTATGATGTCTTCACAAACGTCACCTGGCAGTACAACGTCGTCAATTGCAACTTTCATTCTGGAAATACTCACTGCTGGCTCGGTTGATTAACAAATTTTATAAAAATAATTAAACACACGTGAAGAAACCAAAACAAACCCTTTGCTAGTTGGATTTTGGCATTTGTCAGAAATGACACTAATGACAAGATAAGAAAATTTTCACTATAGTCTGATTCGGACCAATAAAAATTGATTTGTACGGTCCGAATCGAACCCTACGAATCATCCGTCAATACCGGTCACAGATTAGAGAGTATGTGATACCGGTACCAAATACCGATTAATGGCAGCAGCCACACGGTGGATCGAAATGGCATTAAAGTGGACATAGGGATTTTTTCCGGAAAATCGAATTTTAAAAATTGCCAATCGATAGTCCTTTGCTCACTCATCACGACATGTCATATCACATTTTTCTCTAAACCTGATACTTTAGCTTAAAAAAATAATTTGTGTTTTTTTTGTATGAAACGAGACATAAAGTGCTAATTTTCTCCGAAGACCTGCTAGATATTGACTTGAAACAACCTAGGTCGGTATAACTGCATTATTTATTAATATTCTAAGCTATTTGCAGCTGCTCCAAACCGCAACTTAGCCTGTTAAACGATTCCGAAAAAAATTGAAATTGACTTTTCTTGTAATTGTATTTTAGTTCTTTTTTTTTAGAAAAAGCGTCGATTACGGTTCTAGGAAGTGATTTTATCGTTAGGTGACATTGTTATCTATTCTCAGAATCTGTTAAACCCTTTCTTTACTATCAGCACATGACTTTAAAACAACAATGAAGTTACTCATACCTCGTAAATAACGTGTTTTGCGAATAAGCAGATAATGGTCAGGGGTGGGGTTAAAAAACAGATAAGGATTGTTTATTTGTTTTAAATTTAGTTTGGGCTGTGTAACGTCACCAATAACATTCAACTTTAAATGCGGTTTTAACATTTAATTACAATGGAAGCTATTGTGAATAATATAGATTTGTTCGTAGTCTTAAGAAATACCTTAAAACCTTTCATGGACAGTGAGGAACTTTATAATCACCTTTAGCAGAAAATGGTACATTTGTCAGAAGAAAACAGTGTTAAGTTAAAAAAAGTTTGCCGGAATTTTTGTACTAATCTTAATGGACGATGGACAAACTGTCATCTGTCTCTTCCCCAATTTTTAAGAAGAAACAGTGATTGGCTTGAATCTCCAATTAACTGGGTCTGGCAACTAGTTTTTGATGAAGACAAAATTGAGGAAAATGTTGGTTCAATTACTGAACCTAATGAAAAAACAACGTCCAAAAGGTATAGATGCAATTACCGAAAACATGCCAACTTCTACACTACATGCTTCGACTACTTCCTTTATCCCGAGGAAACCGTTACATAAATTAACTCAGAAACAGAAAAAAAAGATGAATTACACATTACATAAATTAACTCAGAAACAGAACATTTTCCTCAATTTTGTCTTTATCAAAAACTAGTTGCCAGACCCAGTTAATTGGAGATTCTTCTTAAAAATTGGGGAAGAGATAGATGACAGTTTGTCCATCGTCCATTAAGATTAATACAAAAATTCCGCAAAACTTTTTTTTAACTTAAGAGCGTTTACGCGAAGCGCGGCGTTTCAATGGGCATCATTGGAAATGATTCGCGCGCGGCGTTTTTTAATAGTTTTCAAATGTTTATAGCAAAACAATAACAATGAATTATATGTATATCGTTTCAAAGCAAATATTTTAAAGATGTTATTTTATTATATTAAGCTATTTTATTTATGTTGAATTAAAGAAGAATAATGGTGTAAAAATCACTTTGATTTTTGGGTATTTCACGTTCTTTGAATTTGTGATTTCTTATTGTACCACTGTTTTTTATGTGTGCAATAAAGATTTTAAATAAATAAATAAATGCTTAAATCTAAGAATTTTCTCAACTATTTGCCTAAGGACCTATGCTATAGGATATAAATGTTTGCTATATCGTTTTCACAGTGTTTTTATAAAAAATTTAGTTTGTTAACTGACGCCACAGATAATATAATACTACTGACGCTAAAGTGGAAATTTGAAAACCTGTGTGGACTTATCTTGATAGAATTCTTAAATACTATACTAATCGAAATATTTTCTCAACTAACTATTTAGACGACGAAATTGCCTAATTATTCACAATAGCTTCCATTGTAATTACATGTTAAAAACCGCATTTAAAGTTGAATGTTATTGGTGACGTTACACAGCCCAAACTAAATTTAAAACAAATAAACAATCCTTATCTGTTTTTAACCCCACCCCTTACCATTATCTGCTTATTCGCAAAACACGTTATTTACGAGGTATGAGTAACTTCATTGTTGTTTTAAAGTCATGTGCTGATAGGAAAGAAAGGGTTTAACAGATTCTGAGAATAGATAACAATGTCACCTAACGATAAAATCACTTCCTAGTACCGTAATCGACGCTTTTTCTAAAAAAAAAGAACTAAAATACAATTACAAGAAAAGTCAATTTTAATTTTTTTCGGAATCGTTTAACAGGCTAAGTTGCGGTTTGGAGCAGCTGCAAATAGCTTAGAATATTAATAAATAATGCAGTTATACCGACCTAGGTGGTTTCAAGTCAATATCTAGCAGGTCTTCGGAGAAAATTAGCACTTTATGTCTCGTTTCATACAAAAAAAACACAAATTATTTTTTTTAAGCTAAAGTATCAGGTTGAGAGAAAAATGTGATATGACATGTCGTGATGAGTGAGCAAAGGACTATCGATTGGCAATTTTTAAAATTCGATTTTCCGGAAAAATTCCCTATGTCCACTTTAATGCCATTTCGATCCACCGTGAGCCACCACCATTCACACGTGGGGTGGATCACAGCTGTCACTTTGACATTTCAGTGTGTTTATTTTCATTTTGGAGATGGTGTTTTTTGGTTATTTTCACTTCTAAAAATTAATTAAAATGCCAGCAGTTCTGGAAAACGATGTCCTCACTTACAAAGGAAGTAACTTCTTCCGGCAACGCTTACTTCTGGCGACTTTGAGTGGGCGTGCTGTTAAAATTGACGAAATACGGAGTACCCACGACGATCCTGGCCTCAAGGAGTATGAAGTGAATTTGATCCGGTTGCTAGATAAGGTTACGAACGGGACGAGGGTGGAGCTCAGCGAGACCGGCACGTCTTTGTATTTTCAGCCGGGAATTCTGATTGGCGGTCAAGTTACACACAATTGCTGTCCTCAAAGGGGCATAGGTTAGTTTTTAAAAGTTTCTCTGTTTTAACCATCTCAAATGTTAATTAGTTCTTTTTGACTATTTGCCAAAGCTGCTACTGATCTTATTAAGTTCATTTACGATTTATTCCGATTTAATTCTCATCCTAATATTAATAATATCATTCCAGGATATTACTTAGAAATCTTGCTGGCTCTCGGACCGTTTTGCAAGGAGCCCCTCAACGCAGTCCTTCAAGGCGTGACCCACAGCAACTTGGATGTATCGGTGGACAAAATTAAAACAGCAGCACTGCCTATATTATTGAAATTCATATTAGTGGATGATGGGTTGGAACTCAAAGTTGTGAGAAGAGGTAAAATAATTTTTTTTTGTGTCCTTGTTTATTTTATGTACTAAAATAAAACTATTTAGTTATTTATCAGTCTAGTTCAATAACAATACATCTTTCCCAAAATTAGCTTTATTATAATAATATTTTAAAAAATCTACTAGTCAAGCTTCTAATAACTATCCTCTAGGCTTAGAACTACACTTAACATCAAATAAACCGCACCTTCCGCGACGCGAACTTTAAAGATTTTCTTCTGACACAATCATGGTGCCCCAACAATATTGGTGTTATTTGAAAGCCCAATAAATATCCTTAAAGAAAAACACATTTAATTTCATAATAAATGATTAACATATACCATAAATTAATGTGACTTGAAAAAAGACCTCACTTTGGGCTCATCTCTGGGATCAATTAGACCAATTTTTATGGTTATAAAACCAAATAATGATCTCACGTGTCCTCTTTAACAGATGGATAGCGATTAATCCCAACTTACAAGTTTTATAGCCATAAAAATTTATTTTATCAACAGGTGCCCCTCCTCTTGGAGGTGGTGAAGTAGTCTTCAAATGTCCAGTACGGCGACACCTCAGGCCGCTGCAATGGACCAAATGGGGGCTTGTGAAGAGGATCCGAGGAGTAGTTTACGCACTACGAGTTTCACCTACCATGGCCAACAGGGTGGTCGATTCAGCTAAAGGGGTGAGTGCTCTTATTTAATGAGATTAAATACAGCTTTGCAATGGTAGTCTTAGTACAATCTTTTGTCCCTTACTGCAGCATACTTCCTAATTATTAATGTTAATAAGAGAATCATATCTTTGATCATTCTTTCTAACTTCATCTTTAGTATAATTATTATGACACAGTCAAGAGTATTGTACTGTATGTAAGAGCTTTCACATTTAGGTGACTTTAGCAGCGCGACAACCGCACGACAGATGCGCTGTCGATAATTTCATACTGTATAACAGTGCGGCAACGGCGTTTTTATAATGTGAAGGTTGGAATACGCTTCTGCCGCGCTGCTGTCGCGCTTCCGACGCCCTAATGTGAAAGCTCTAAGCCTTCATGTAGTTGAATGGAAGACAGTTAAAAATTGTTACCTATTTAACAGAGCAGGATCAGAATGTACTAATCACAGTAACCATTTTTACTTCCAGGTGATGCTCAAGTTTCTTCCGGATGTGTACATCAACACGGACCAGTGCCGCGGGTCCAACGCCGGCAAGAGTTCCGGGTTCGGCGTCAGTCTGGTCGCCGAAACCAATGAGAAGACCTACTACTGTGCTGAAGCTGTAAGTTGCATTATAATAATACTAGCTTTTGCCCGCGGCTTCACCCGCGTGAAATTTAGTTTGTCACTTCTTCTTCTTATTCGTTACGCTCTTGGCAGAGCGGTCGTGGTGACGTTGAGGCGTTGTTCATATCGGTTGTAGAGGCGGATACAACTCTCCGCACGATCTCCCTCCATCTCTCTCTATTGGCAGACTGTCTGGTGCAGTCACATAAGCCGTCTCCCACTGCTGCTTTCACTTGGTC